AAATGCAGGAATTAGAAGAAGGGACAAAAAATAAGACTCCACTATATTTGATCTACATGCATTTTAGATACTAAGACTCAAATAGCTCAAAAGTAAATGGATGAAAAAAGATATGTGCTACAAATAGTAACAGAGAACTGAAGTGGTTACTTTAATATCAGACAAAACGCACTTTAAGATAAATGTTAGTAGAGAGAGGACATTTTATAAGATAAAAGAGTCAATTCATCAAGAAGTGACTATCATAAACATCTGTGCTCCTAACAACTAAGTCCCAAAATACCTGAAGAAAAGGCTCAGAGTTGAAGATAGGAATAGACAATTCAACAAGAGTAGTTGCAGATTTCAAAACCCCACTTTCAGTAGTGGGTGAAACGGCTAGAAGGGACAAGGAACTGGAAGACTTGAACAACACCGTCAACCAGCTAAACCAAACAGAAATTTACAGAGCATGGCATTCAAACACTATCAAAATAGTTGTTCTTCTCAAGTGCTGCTGCTGCAGCTGCTAAGTCACTTCAGTCGTGGCCGACTCTGTGCGACCCCATAGACGGCAGCCCACCGGGCTCCCCCGTCCCTGGGATTCTCCAGGAGTGGGTGGCCATTTCCTTCTCCAATGCATGCAAGTGAAAAGTGAAAGTGAAGTCGCACAGTCGTGTCCGACTCTTAGCGGCCCCATGGACTGCAGCCCACCAGGCTCCCCCGTCCCTGGGATTCCCCAGGAGTGGGTGGCCATTTCCTTCTCCAATGCATGCAAGTGAAAAGTGAAAGTGAAGTCGCACAGTCGTGTCCGACTCTGTGCGACCCCATGGACTGCAGCCCACCAGGCTCCCCCGTCCCTGGGATTCTCCAGGAGTGGGTGGCCATTTCCTTCTCCAATGCATGCAAGTGAAAAGTGAGAGTGAAGTCGCACAGTCGTGTCCGACTCTTAGCGGCCCCATGGACTGCAGCCCACCAGGCTCCCCCGTCCCTGGGATTCTCCAGGAGTGGGTGGCCATTTCCTTCTCCAATGCATGCAAGTGAAAAGTGAAAGTGAAGTCGCACAGTCGTGTCCGACTCTGTGCGACCCCATGGACTGCAGCCCACCAGGCTCCCCCGTCCCTGGGATTCTCCAGGAGTGGGTGGCCATTTCCTTCTCCAATGCACGCAAGTGAAAAGTGAGAGTGAAGTCGCACAGTCGTGTCCGACTCTTAGCGGCCCCATGGACGGCAGCCCACCAGGCTCCCCCGTCCCTGGGATTCTCCAGGCAAGAGTGCTGGAGCGGGTCACCATTGCCTTCTTCGCTTCTCAAGTGCACACAGAGGTTTTTCCAGGGAGGCCCATGTATTACACCATAAAACAAGCGTCAGTAAGCTTAAAAAGATGTGAAAAGGACAGAGACCGTACAAAACGTGCTCCCTGATGATAATGGAGGGAAATGAGACGTCAGTGCCATGGGCTTCCCTGGCGGCTCGGTGGTAAGGACCCCCGCCAAGGCAGGAGTCGGGGTTCGATCCCTGCTCTGGGAAGACCCCACAGGCCGAGGAGCAGCCAAGCCCGCGCGCCGTGACTACTGAGCCTGCGCACTAAGAGCCCGGGCACCGCAACTACGGAAGCCCGGGCACCCTGGAGCGCTCCGCAGCAAGGGATGCCTCTGCGATGCACATTGCAACTGCCCACACACGGCAGCTGGAGAAGAGCCCTGCAGAAGGGAAGACCCAGGACAGCCAATAAATAAATAAACTCATTTAAAAAAAAGACAGAGGGAACTTGCCACATTTACACCTAATGTGAAATTTTAAAAATATGTTCCTAAATGGCAGTGAGTCAAAGAAAAAAAATCACAAGGGTAAGTAGAGCTCATGTGGAGATGCGTGAGAACAAAATCACGACATACTGAAGCTTGTGGGATGCAGAGAAAACAGTGCTCAGAGGGGAATGCATTGTTGTAAATGCCTACATGAAAAATTAAGAAAGATTTCAGAGCCATAATGCAACTTTCTACCATAAGAAATAGAAAGAAGAGCAAACTTAATTTAAACCAAGTTTAAGAAAGGAAATCAACACTGAATTTTCATCGGAAGGACTACTGCTGAAGTTGAAACTGAAGCTCCAATACTTTGGCCACTTGATGCGAAGAGCCAACTCACTGGAAAAGACCCTGAGGCTGGGAAAGACTGAAGGCAGGAGGAGAAGTGGGTGGCAGAGGATGAGATGGTTGGATGGCATCACTGAATCAATGGCCATGAGTTTGAGCAAACTCTGGAAGTTAGTGAAGGACAGGGAAGCCTGGCGTGTTCAGTCCATGGGGCTGCAAAGAGTCAGACATGACTGAGTGACTGAACAACAAGAGGAAAGTAAATAATACAGACTAGAGTAAAAAATTAATGGAAGAGAGAATAGAAACAATAGAATAGATCAATAAATCCACAAGTTGGTCCTTAAAATAGATTAGCAAAATTGACAAGCCTTTAGCTAGCCCGACCAAGAGAAAAACAGAACACAAATTAGTAAAATCAGGAATGAAAGAGGTCACATTACTTTCAACTTCCTAGAAGTAAAGAGTATTATAAGGGGATACAATGAACAATTGCATGCCACCAAATTAGATAACTTGATGAAATTATTCCTGAGAAAGCATAAAATATACAAGAAAATGGAAAAAAAATTTTGAATACATCTGTAAAAGTAAGAAATCGAGTTAATAATCACAGCTGTCTTCACAGAGGAAAGCCAGGTACTAGGTGGCCTTACTGGTGAATTCTAACACATGTTTAAAGGAGAATTAACAACAGTCCAAATCAAACAAAAATCAAAAAAGTTGAAGAGGTAGGAATACTTTCCAACTCTTGATACTAAGACCAGACCAAAACATCATGTGAAACAAAAACCAATAGCTCTTGTGAATATAGACGCAAAAATCTCCCATAAAATACTAGGAAACTGAATACAGCAACATAAAAATAAAAAAGCTTACACATAAAGACGAAGCGGGATTTATCCCAGGAAATAAGACTGGTTAAACAACAAAAAAATTCAATTAATGTAACACCCTATATTAATAGAAGAAAATATAAAAACCATATGATCATTTCAATAGATATTGAAAAAAGCATTTGACAAAGTCCACCACAGATTTGTGGTAAAAATTATAAATAAAACTGGAAGTGAAGGGAACCTTTTCAACCTGATAAAGAGTACCTAGGGGAAACCTACTTAAACATCAAACTTAATGATGAAAGCTTGGACGCTTTCCTGCCAAGATCAAGAGCAAGACAGACATGTCTGCTCTCATCGCTTTTCTCAACATTGCACAGAAGTTCTAGCCAGGCAAATTAATCAAGAGAAAGAAATACATGACATCCAGATCAGAACAGAAGAAGCCCCTGAATCGTTGTTTTCATCAGGTAACATGATCTTACATGTAACTAACCCTAAAACACCCTTGTAAAGAAAACTATCGGAGCCGATAAATGAATTCAGCAAGGTTACCAGATCAACGTACAAAAGTCAGTTCTGTTTCAGTAAACCAGCAATGAACAATCAGAAATGAAAATTTAAGGCTGAAATACCTTTCACAACAGAATCAAAAACATAAAATGCTTTGGAATAGATTTAGCAGAAGAGGTGAAAGATGTACTAAAATTGATAAAATGTGGCTGGTGGAAATTAAAGATCTATTTGGATGGGGATACATTCCACGTTCATGGACTCAGTATTGTGATAATGGCAATTCTCCCTAAATTGACCGCTAGACTCAGCATAAACCTTATCACAATTCCAGCAGAATTTTTCTTTTCAGAAACTGGGAAGTTGATCCAAAAAATTATATGGACATGCAGATGTGGCCTGGAGGGTACAAAGCAATTTTGAAAAAGGAGAACGAAGCTGGAGGATATTGGATTAGTCTGCTAGACCTGCCAGCAAAATACCACAGCTGGGGTGGCTTAGAAACAACAGATTAATTTATTACATAAATTGTTATTACTATTTTGGCTTCACTGTGTGATACGCACGATCTTAGTTCTCTGACCAGGGACAGAACCTGTGTGGGAGTGCAGTCTTAACCTGGACCGCCAGAGAAATCCCTTACATGAGTTACTAGTAAACTGCAAATAATCCTTAAACTAATAAGTTTAAGAATACTGTCACGGTTTTAGAGGTCAAAAATCTGAAATCAAGGTATCAGCAGGCTCTCAGGGGAGCCTTGTGACTTCCAGTTCTGGGGACTCCTGCAGCCTGTGGCCACATCACCCCAGTCTCAGCCTCCAGCTTCACATGGTCAGATCCTCTCCTCTTTGTCTCTTCTAAGGACACTTGTCAGCGGGTTTAAAACCCAATCAGGTAACCCAGGATAATCTCATTTCAAAATCCTCACCTTAGCCGCATCGCCAAGACCTGTTCTACAACCAAGGCCAAGTTCACGGGTTCCAGGATTAGGATATGGACCTATCTTCTTGGGAGCCACCAGTCCACTACAGAGGATTTTCAATTTCAAAACTTACCTTAAGGCTTCTGCCTTATCAAGATGAAGTTATCTACAAAACAGAAGCAGATTCGCAGTCATGAAGAACAGGCTTGTGCTTGCCAAGAGTGGGATGGAGGGTGGCGTGGATCAGGAGTTCAGGGTTAGCAGATACGAACTCTCATATATATATATGGTGAATGAAAAACAAGATCCTCCTGCATAGCACAGGGAACTATATTCCTGTGAGAAACTAACATCCCATGATGAACCATAACAGAAAAGAATATGAAAAAGAATGTGTAGACATGTATAACTGAATCAATTTTCTGTACAGTAAAAACTAACATAGCATTGCAAACCAACTCTACTTCAACAAAAAGAAACAAAAAACAAAATAGATATTTAAAACAAAAAGAAAAGGACAATAAGACACTGGCATACAGATAAGACATCTAGATCAGCAGAACAGAATTGAAAGTCCAGATGTGAACCTGTGTATTTGTGGTCAGTTGATGATCAACAGAAGTCTCGGTCTCAGGCAGGCTCTGCATACCGGGGCTCAGGTCGGGGCGGCCGTCCTGACCCTTGTAACTCTGCCTCGGGTCCCCGGTTGGTCTTGTGGGGGAGCTTCCTGTCCTCCTCCGGCAGCGCAGACCTGTGTTTGGTTTCAGCGGCGGATCCCGGACCCCAGGTGGGCTCCTGCCCTGCCCCTAGGTAGAAGGCTTTTCCTCGTGTCTTTCTTTTTTTTTCCCTTGTGTCTTTCTCTTCCGCCACGATGGGTGTCTGGCTGTGTGCCCTCGAGGTGACAGATTTTGCTACTTCTCTACCGGCAGTTTAAAGCTTTTGCTTCTTAGGAGAGAAGGGTCTTCAAAAGCGGGTGAGGATGGGCACTCATCTCTTAGCAGACCTCTGCCTACATCCCATCCAGAGGCGCCTCTCTCACTCTGGGGCCCTTGAGGGGCCTCTCTCCAGCCCCAGTCTTCCCCCCTCATGCCTGCTGGAGCCCCCTGAGCAAGCTCCGAGTGGGGGTGAGCCACTTACCTGGGTGCAGCCCCCCGGGCAGTCCCCCTCGAGCCTGCCCCTGGCCTTGCCAGCATTTTAGCTGTTTATTCTTATCTAGCCGCCACTTCCTGCCACGTGAGGCCCACGTGAGCAGGTCCGGAGGTGATCGCCCTTCTTTTTCATTCAGATGACCTGACCGGCGGGTTTGTGACCCGTGGGGCTGAGTCTTTTCCGGGTTTTTCTCATTATTAGGGTGGAAACAACATTCTTTGCAGCTTTCTTCTTCCTCCACAGAAGCAGAAACCCAAATCTGGCCCCTTTTCAGAGGACTGTTGGGTGGAGAACAGGAGCAGAGGTGGGCAAGGTGGTCAGCTGAAGCTGGGACCCCCAGGCTCGGAGGCTCCAGGCTGATCACCTAGGAAAGGGGCTGTGGGAAGGCTCACACCGGCGGCCAGAGGAGGTGTGGGTCGGGTGGAGCGGAGGGAGATACCTGGTATCCACAGGGGCTGAGGAGAAACGCTAGAGGGCCTGGGCTTCAAGACGCGAAACTCCCCTGGGAGGTGGATGTGGGCCAACACGCTCAGTCCACATAGGGCTGCGGCTTTAGGGCTGTGAGCTCTCTCAGCAGAGTGTCCCAGCCTTAGGCTGTCGGATCCCTCAGGACAGGTGTGCCCGTACAGAGCGCCGTAGTTCAGCACTGCGGTTTCCTGAAGGACGTGGTCATGCGACCGCGGAACTCAGTGAAGACGAACCAGAGGAGGAGAAGCCAAGACTCCTCTCCGCTCTGAATAATGACAGGCTCTCGGTGGGCACTGAACCCCCTGCCGGGTCCTGTTCCGGGGGCTTTCCAAGGACACACGCAGTAACCATCCTGGCAGTCACGCGGGGCAGGTCCAGTTATCCCCTGCTCACACCCACCGAAGCGGAGGCAGGGGAGTGGCTGAGTTCCCTGCTGTAGGGGCTTGAATGGATCCCCCCACAAGCTGTGTCCACGTCTGAACCCCCAGAAACCGTGACTGTGGCCTCGTTTGGGAAAAGAGTCTTTGCTGATATAATGCAGCCCAGGATCTGGAGGGGAGATTATCCAGGTGGGCCCCGAATCCGATGGCAGGCGTGGGGAGAAAGGAGAGCTAGCAGATGGGACAAGCCAAGGCTGCTCTTTCAGAGCCGCTGGGGCGGGGGCCAGCGCCCCACTGACCCCTGGGGAGCCTCACTGGACGGGCGGACGGGGGACTTCACGGCGCGAAAGGTGGGCTCGTGACCCACGGGGCTGCTGGTCTGGGATGGTGGGGGGCTCACGGGAGGGGGGCTCCTGGGGGACCCGTTAGGGGCGCACTTGGCTCTCTCTGCCGGGCCCCACGTTGGAAGCAGGAACTGGAATCGGGGCAGCGGTGAATTATTGATCAGGTCCTGGCCATGTGCGGCGGGTGGTTACAGGGTCACTGCCCCCTGCCCCCTGCCCTCTGACCTCCTGCAGGCGGTTTGCTGGAGGGGCAGCTCGGCTCCCTGGGCCGGTGGCCGCAGGCGGTGGGGTCAGAGGTCTGTTTCCACGTGTGGTCCGCTCATTGCCCCTTCGTGCATTCGGCCTCCTACTATTGTGTCTTCAGGGCTAAGCTCTGCGTCTGCTGGGACACAGAATTTGGGACTATGATCTCCCAGGGGACAGGGCCATGTTTCAGGGCTCTGGGTTCCCCTGGGACAGGTTCGCGACTTTTGGGCCCCCGGGCTCCCTCAAGACTTGTGGTTTTAACACTGTCATCTCAGGTGAGGGCTCTCCTGTGCCCCTCGGAGTTCCCCGGGGACAGGGTCCTGGTTCAGGGCTGTGGGCACCCTCAGGGCAGGGCGAAGACTTTAGGATCGTCAGCTCTCTTTTCAGAAGGCTGTGGATCTGTGCGCTCCCTGGGGACAGTCACTTCTCTCAGGATGGTGGCCAAGCCTGGGGCCCAGTGAAGTCCCCAGGGGTGCTCCAACTCTGGGATGCCCAGCACCGAGCAGTTTGTGGCCACGTGCTGCCCACAGCCCTCTCATCCTAAGGCATCCGATAGCCTGAAGCCAGAGCAGTTTCCTGAGCGAGCTCAGAGCTAGGACACAAATGTTTGTCTATGCTTTGCCTGATGATTGAGGCTTTACGGCAACCAAGGGGCTGGGTGGGCAGGTGGGGGCTGTGAGGGGTGGTCCCCCAAAGCCTGGGGAGCTGCCCAACACTGAGGAGAAGCAGAGGCATCCATGTGGCTCTCCAGTGTCTCCCCGTATCTGAGCAGACAACATGTGGCTCTCATCTCCTGTTTGCGTTTCAGTGCTTTGCACTTGGAGAGGATTTCTGTAAATCCTATATATTCCAAATAAATCTGCCTCCAAGCTGAGGCTGGGAAGGGCGTCCCCCCACCTCCCCCGCTCCACACTGACAGCCCAGCACCCGAGGGGCCGGGACCATATATACACAGAAAGCAGGTTTCCCAGATGTGCTCATCACCGCTGGGGCTTTTTGCTTCCACCCATGCTGGGAGCGGCTGACGTGGCTTGTCATTCTATCATCCACGCATGCCTGGTGTTCTATCTGGGGATGCATGGAGGGAATGCAGCCAAGAGCAGGCCAGAGGAGGCTCTAAAAGTCCAACCCTGAATCCCCCACTGGCCTTGGATTTGGCGGTGCTGACCTGCACTCCAGGTGGCTTTGCACTGGCTCTCCAGTGCTTTGCACAGGCCAATCTTTCTGCCTGGACCTCTCTCCCATGCTCTTCCCCTAAAGACCCAGCTCCAAAAGACAGCCACATGCACGGGCCACCAGGCACAGACCTTGTCGCTTTTCTCCCAGCAGAGCCAGTGGCCCCTCCCACAAGCATTCTCAGTGTCATGAGTCAGGGGACCTCACTGAACCTCTGTTTCTTCCTCTGTAGATCAGGGTCATCATGGCACCTACCAACAGGGCTGAGACGAGGATGAGGCAAGAGAGGCCCTTGCCTGGGGTGCAGCATTTAAAGGGGCGCCAAAAACCCAGTCGTCAAGATCAGTAATACTTTAACACAGTCTAGTAGAATGTCAAAATTGGGACTTCTCTGACAGTCCAGGGGTTAAGACTTTGCCTTCCAGTGCAGGAAATGTGGGTTCAATCCCTGGTTGGGGAGCTGAGATCACATGTGCTGCGTGGCCAAAAAACAAAAAAAACAATATTGGTTTTGAAACAATATTGTAACAAAGACAATAAAGATTTTTAAAATGGTCCACATTAAAAAAAATATTCAAAAAAGTCAAAATTAATGCAAATATATCCATGGTGAACAAAATATCAAAATTGTAAATGAAGATAAAACTAGTGTACCTGAGGTTTAGCTTTTGGTCTCAAGCCACAGTGTACTCAGGCACCGCCTGTCCTAACAGGTGGGCGCTTCTGGGTGTCCTGGGCCACGAGGGCCTTGTGTCGCCCACGGAAAACCGGCCCATGGTGGTCTGCTTGCTGTTTGGCTCTCAGCTCCAGCACATATCACAGTTTCTATGACCTTCTCCTGCTCATTTTTTTGTTCCTGCAGCCCATGGCCAATTTTAATAACTGTGAAATTAAGGACCCCGGAGTTTGGGGACAGAGAGGCTCTTTAAGGTCATCTTCGCAGGCCTGTTCTTTGAACAGTGGGGGAAAGAGGCTGAGGGGGTGGGGTTTGCCCAAACTCAGGGGCGGGGCCAGGGTAGAGAGTGTGGGGTCTGCACATAAACTGCCTCCCCCCTACACCGAGATGCTTCCCACCTCAGAACCTTGCAAACCTCAACTGCAGGCCCCACAAGGTCCTGGCAGTGAAGACAGGGAAAGCTGGTCCTGTCTGTCTCAAGCCTCCGTGTTCTCATCTGTACAATGGGCCATGTCCCCTCCTGCTGTAAGAAGGCAGCCCTGTCCTTTCCCCAGTCTGTTCCATATTCCTCTGACTGTTCCATTCCAACCTAATTCAGTTTATTTCATTCCAGTCTGCTCTGTCCATTTCTCTCCACTTCCCATTCCAGCCTGCTCTATTGGCCTCGGCTAATTATATTTCACCCATCCATTCTATCTTGATGAAATTATATTTCATCCATTCATTCTATCACACACACATATCCGTGTGTGTGTATTCCATTCCTTTCTGCTTTATTTTCCATCCCTTTCTGCTTTATTTATTTTACCCATTCCATCCTATTTGGTCCACTCATGCCACTGTGTTTCCCCGTCCTGCACGAAGCCCTCTTTCCAGAGCCCCTGGTTTTCTTTGCTGGTTTCAGTGAAAACATCCATTCTGCAAGCCGTGTCCCCTGGGCCCTGCTTGCTGCCTTTCCAGCAAATGCCCACATGAGCTCATGTTTTGTGGTAGGTTTTTTTTTTTAAGTCAGAAACCGTGAAGGGAAAGTGAGGCCTGTCTTTCATTTGATATCTCCCAGATCCTTTTCTGATCAGCCTCCATCCTTGGAGGTGTCTGTAAGATGTCAGCCCGTTCCTGCCACCCGCTGCCTTGGGACAGCTGCTTCGTGACTGCAGAGTGATTGGGAGCTGTGGTGGGGGCAGGTGAGATCTGGGGGCTTCAGCAACCTGTCAACTCTTTCACCAAGAGAATGTTCTTGGGACATTCAACCTGATCTAACATTTTTTTAAAAGAATATTTCATGTGACTTTCATTTATTTACTTATTTTTGGCCTTGCATCTGGTATCTGAGTTCCCACACCAGGAATTGAACCCACGTCCCCCTGCAGTAGGAGCTCAGTCCTAATCCACTGGACCACAAAGGAAGTCCCCTGTTCTTACTTTCCATCCTGTGCCTTCTCCACTTCCACAATTGTCATCAGATAACAAGGATAGCTGTATTTTTTCCAGTAGTCATGTATGGATGTGAGAGTTGGACCATAAAGAAAGCTGAACGCTGAAGAATTGATGCTTTTGAACTGCGGTGTTGGAGAGGACTCTTCACAGTCCCTTGGACTGTAAGGAGATCAAACCAGTCAATTCTAAAGGAAATCAGTCCTGAATATTCATTGGAAGGACTGATGCTAAAGCTAAAACTCCAGTACTTTGGCCACCTGATGCAAAGAGCTGACTCATTTATAAAGAGCCTGATGCTGGGAAAGATTGAAGGCAGGAGGAGAAGGGGATGACAGAGGGTGAGATGGTTGGATGGCATCACCAACTCAATGGACATGAGTTTGAATAAACTCCAGGAGTTGGTGATGGACAGGGAGGCCTGGTGTGCTGCAGTCCATGGGGTTGCAAAGAGTCAGGCACGAATGAGCAAATGAACTGAGATGAACAAGGATGGCACACAGGTCTGCACATCACACTCAGGGACATACCCACATTCCATCTCTGGTGCCCACCCTCCGCACCAGGTTCCATTTCAGAGGTGACAGGACCCAAATGCCATTTAAGGAAAGTCCATTGCTTAAATGCTGTTTCCTTTATTGTTGTGAAAATATGTCTCTGGGTGACCAATGATATTGGTTTGTGGTCTAGACCTTTTTCCTTTTATGTACAAATATCTAGGTAGTTATTCTATCAAAGATATCATTCAGTCTTGTCCTTTGAGGACTTTTTTCACTTGTGGACAGACTTTCATGGCATTACATATAAATCTACCATATTTTTATTGACAACATCACATTCTATCAATTGTATAGAAGTATTATTGTATAGAAGCATTATTTCGTTGAACGATTTTTCTGTTGAAGGACTTTTTATTTCTGCATTTATGAATAACAGTCTGGCAAATCTTCCTGTAAATACCTTCCTGCATGCACATTTCTGCAACTATTTTTTCTTTTGAGTGGATTTTTAGAAGTGCTATTGATTGGTTAAGGAGGATGCATATTTTAAAATGTATCAATACGACCAAATTCTCTTTCAACCTGGCCTTTGAATCAAGTTTCCATACTCTAGCTGGAGTGACCTTTGTGAAATGAATTGATCTTGTGATTCCTTAACATTTAGAACAAAGAAACAGCCACACACAAAAAAAACAACTTTGGAAATGGGATGACTTTGTGTCCTGGAGGAAGTGGACTGTTTTGTGAGGCCAAAGATTTATAAATTTCAAGAAAGTGTGGAGAGGGAGGTGGGAGGGGGTTTCAGGATGGGGGGACACATATGTACCCGTGGCTGATTCATGTGGATATATGGCAAGAGCCATGCTAATTGTAAAGTAATTATCCTCCAATTAAAATAAATAACTTAAAAAAAGAATATGCAAGACAGAGTGAATTCAAGTGTCCGAAAGAACATCAGGAATAAAATGTCATCCCCTCCATCCCAGCCTCACCTCCCAAGCCCCACCCTGAAGCGAACTGCCGAGGTACAGTTTCCAGAGACTTTGAGGGGGCGTCTACCTGGGGCCATGGTCAAGGCCAACCCAGCCAGACCCCAGCA